CTGCGGAGTGGCCTTATATAGTCAATCAAGAGATGTGTACAGGGCCTGGGATTTAGCTCAGTGGCATAAGTGCCTGCCTACCAAGCATGAGGTCATGAGTTTGACCCCGAAAAGAGAGAGAGATGTGAAAGAGAGATGTGTGCAAATATAAACAAGTCTTCCCAGTAGACTGCTTGCAACATTGTTTCCAGTAATGAAAAAAACAGACACACTGTAAATGCTGCACAATATGAGATTAGCTGAGAAAACTGTGAAGTACTCATGCAATACAGACAGTGCTGCTATTACACTGCAGAAGAATCCTTTCATCAGGACAAATATAAAGTACTGAAGGTCATGTTCCCCCTGTCCCCTAATATTTTCCCTGGAACTCGATTTAAGAGTGATTTTTATCTTCTCTGTGAAGCTTATAAATTTGGAGTGCTGAGTATATGTAACTATTGTCATTTTTTAAAAAATGTTCTCAGACCCTCCTCTTTCCTTGACCAGCACTAACTAGGGCTTCTTGTGACTAGCAGTTTCCTGGGTAGATGAAGGCATTTTGGGGGAAACTGCTGCCTTCTGGGTAGGGGAGGAAATAGCAGGACATCTGCAGTTACCTGGGGAGCACGTTATGGGAGGAAGGAAGTAGCAAAACAGCAGTGAGTAGTCAGCCACGGCCTAATAACAGATAATCTGTTGGCTGGTGAAACTTCAGAGCCAGGCTGAGGCTGGGCATCCATTCCCGCCCACTTCCTCCATGCGGCTTCCTCGCCATCTGCTCTGCACATCCAGCTTTCTCTACCTCAAGACAGGAGCCATGATGGGGCTCTGCTCTGTGCCTCCTTGTACATAGCGCAGAGCCTGGCTGGCCAGCGTAGCACAGAGGATGGATGGATGGATGGATGGATGGATGGATGGATGGATGGGTGGGTGGATGGATGGGTGGATGGATGGATGGGTGGGTGGATGGATGGGTGGATGGATGGGTGGATATGGATGGATGGATGGGTGGATGGATGGATGGATGGGTGGATGGGTGGGTGGATGGATGGATGGATGGATGGGTGGATGGGTGGATGGATGGGTGATGGATGGATGGGTGGGTGGGTGGATGGATGGATGGATGCAACTCTCCTTCTATCACTCATCTTCCATCTCTATCAGCTGACCTTCCGTCTCTCTGCAGGTTCATCTCCTCTTGCTCCAGGACACCCTTGCTGAGTCCACCAAGCCTCTGCTGCACTCCATGTTAACCTCAGTTGCACATTTTAATAGTCTGTTATGGAACTCTGAGCTGTTTTTCTCCATTGGTACATGAATAGTAAAGGTCAATGTCCTGATTAGCTCTGACTCTCCAGACAGGGCTCAGCACCTAGAAAGTACTGAATCAATACTAGGAAAGGGAAGAAATGATGATCTTCTCTTCTCCCCCTGATGCTGTCTGGTTCTTGCTTAGTGAGTGGGAAGTGGGGAGGGGGGAGTAGTTCCTGCTGCCCTCTGTCTGTGAAAAAATGAAGATTTCATGGCCCCAGGCTCATCTCTGTCCCAAGCCCATCCATAGTTCTCTTCACTTGCTCCCAGTCATAGTCACGAGGGGACCATAGAGGGTTGGTGACTCAGCCCAATTCATCACCACAATGGAAAAACCCAGTCACCTGTCCTCCTGGCAGCAGGACTGGAGCTGCCTCTGTATCTGGAAGGGCAGCAAGCCACACTGTTCTCAAGGTCCTTTTGTCTTTCACCTGCTGAAAAAATCAAAGATTAAACCATAACGAAGCGTCACTGGTTGACATTGAGAATTTATAGTGTGGGATGAATCTCAGGGACCAGAACTTGTGTCTTTCCATAGTAGGCTCAGCACTGTGTCCAAGTGCACCATCTCATAGCAGTTTCACAACTCCTGTGTCATCTGAAGTGGGCACTGGTCACTCTTTTGGCCACCAGCACCCACTACACCCTTCCTGTGGGGCAGAACCCAGCTCTCACGAGAGAACTAAAGATGCCTCTTCCCAGCCTCCCTTGCAGCTTTTGTAGTAGACATGATTGGCTCTTCCCACCAGATGCCCTGCTCTGAACTGTGAGTGAAAAACTGGTGGCACAAACAAGCCAAGACTACAGGGAACCCATTCTGGAGAGGAAGGTGACAGTGGTCTTGGAGGCAGGGGGTGTCCAGATGACAGTGTCCAGTGTCCATGTCCATGGGTGGTGCTGATGCAGTCTCCATACCTGAGAATGGGAATGGTCGTTTGAACTCCGGACCAAGGCTGCAGTGTCAGGCCTGGCTTCCGAGATCCCATGAACTGCCCAATCTCCTTTTAACAAAGTACTTCTCTGCTTAAATGAGCCACAGTGGGCTTTAATTTCATGCAACTAGTGCCATGCCATAGTGCAACTATACCAGTAGGAAAAGAAAAGGTCTTCATCTCCAGCCTAAGAACAGGCCAGCCACTCTTCCTCTGCCCATTTTGCAAAGCAGTGACTTGTGAAGCATCTTTCAAGAGCTAAGAACAGGGCAGAAGTGTTTCTTAGAGGGCCCTTATCTTAGGCAATAGCCTGGCCCTTACAGTGCTTGCTTTCCTGTGTTGAAAGCCCCATCATCCCCACTCCCAACAACACGTGTGCTCCTCCGGAGCTAAACAGGAAGGGAGACCCTGGCAACGGGCACCAAGTTCTCAAGCTTCCAGTGACTCAGCAGTAACCCATTTGGCCTGGCATAACTGAGTCCTCCTGCAGGAGCCACGCTGCTTGTTCCCACCGAACCTGAGCTTGAGACAACAGCTCACATTTTGTCATCACTCTGTAAGTCTCCACTTTCAGGGGTTCAAATCTGAAATCTGACTCACCAGAATGCTCATGAATTAGCTGAACCAAGTGGATTGTCTGCACTAGTTCAAGGCCATTGCAAGTGCTCTTGTTCACCCAGACAGACATGCCATGCCATATTGCCAAAATTCTCGTTAGGCAGCTATTAGGTCTTCTGGGGAAATTCAGAAGAGGTAAAGCCTCATGGATTGTTTTACTAGAAGATGGACAGTTTTCTCCAATGATTAAGTATGAAATGACTGAAAAGGATAGAACATGAATCTCTAAGACAATAATAACAATTTTGTCATCGTAAGAAAATTGACTTAAACGATGTGTCTAGAACCATTCTAGTTTACTTCTTACCAAAACCTTGTGAAATCAGCATCACCCCAGTATCGGAGTAAGAGGGGTAACTTCTCAGGTACCACACATCCAGGAAACTGTGGCCCCAGCTTGTGCCTTTAAGGATTGGCCCCTGATTTCCAGAACCACAACCCAGCCGAAGGAAGAAGTTCCACAGATGGAGGCTCACCCTACCCTCACCACTGACCCCTGATCCCCTTGCAGAGGACGGCCTTGGGAGGTAGGCATCTCCCCAAGGTGAGGAAGCCAAACTTGCTGCCTCCTACGTGGTTGATATCTGTCCCCTAAAGCGGCACAAAGCTGTAACCCAAGTAGCAATGCGTGCCCTATATGGGGCCACCAAAATCTTACCAGCCGCCTAAACTGGCAGGTCAATTAATTTGCTGCCATGGGCAGCAGCTGCCGCCTGAAACTCAGCAAAAGCCAGGACCTCAATTAAGACCAAAGCAGACAAAGGTCGCAGAAGGGAGGGGAGGAACAACCTCTCACCTCAGTGTCAGTCCTAAACTTCCAAGATGACTGGGTCCAACACTCTCTGCACAAAAAGGCTAGAATCCACAGAGAGGCAGAGCCCCACCCAAGGTCACTGCTGGGGCTCTCATTTTAAGCTATCTTGCCTAAAGAAATATTTCAGGGTTACTAGAGATCCATACTTCCTAGAGAGGGGCCCCATCCAGGGCCTGTGGCCCTCGCTCTTGGGTCTGACAAGGGTAGCTGGCGAACCAGAGGAGGACGTCTCCCTGTCCCCTTCTATGGCCAGCAGGACCTTGCCATACAGTAAGCGGGACTCTCCAGGCTGAGAGGCAATACCTTGGCCCACCCTTGGGCTCTGAAAAAAGTGGGGAGGACGATTTCCAAGAGGACCCCAGCCTAGGTTCTTCCCGATCCCAGGGACTTTTCTCCAGCGGTTCCTAGGTGAGGCCCGGTGGCAGAGGCTGGGAGAGGAGAGGCGGCGGGGTGGGGCAGGCGCTACGGGGCTGAGGTTCCCTCGGGATTCACACAAAGCCTGAGGCCTGGGCTGCCCTCTTCCCGAGAGCCCGATGCCCGGGCAGCTGCGGGGGCACCGGAGGGCGAGAAGGGCCGCGCGCCGCGCCGCAGGCAGCAGAGCCCCGGCGGCCAGACCCTCGCCGGGCGCCGCGGGAGGGGAGGAGCGGGCGGGAGTCGCGCAGATCGCCCGGGTCTCCACTGGGTTTGCGCGTCGCGGCGCCCTGCCGTCTCCTGCCCTCCGACCCGGAGCTCTGACCGCGGCCGGAGCGAGCAGCCCCCCGGGACGGCACCAGGGCCTGCGCTCGCCGTGGGCTGCGCGCCCACGCCCCCCACCCGCACAACACAGTCCCCAGCCCCGGTGCCCGGTCCCCGCCTCCGACTGCCGCCCGAGTCCCCGCCCCCGGCCCGGCCCCCGCAGCGGCGGGCGCAGCGGGCACGGCGAGGGGCTCCGAGCTGTGGGCACCTGCACGGCGCGGGGGCGGCGACGCGGAAGCCGGGTCCCGCCCGCACGCCTGTCTGCTCCTGGCACCTGGGTGAGTCGCGGCGCCCCTCGCCCTGCAGCCCCCGTGCGGCGCGCGTCCCCCGCCCGGTCAGCCTGGGCGCCCCGGGCCCGCACCTGCGCCCCGCCGCCCCATTCCGCCCACGCGAAGGCAGCGCCCGGCCCCTCGCAGTTCGGCCCGGAGGCGACCCGGGGACGCAGCCTGGCAGCCCGCACCTCCCCTACGCGGCGCCCGCGGGCGGTGGCCTCTTTGTTCAGGCGGAGGGCGCGGGGCCTCCTCCCTCGGCTACCCCGCACCCACCCGCGCTCCCTCCGCCTCCCGGAGCGCACCCGACCAGGTGGCGGCGGGCGCCTTGGGGGTGCGTGGCAGCGCAATTGGTGGATTTTTTTTAAACCGCCGTGGAGGGGGCGGCGTGCGCTCGGCTGCCGGCTGCAGCTCCGCTCGGCTCCGCTCACTCTCCGGGCCGCGCTCCCTGCCGCCGCCGCCGCCGCGATGAAGGTGCTGGGACACAAGCTCGAGCTGCTGACAGGTACCCTGCCCGCCTCGCCGCCCGCGGCTCCGAGGTGGAGCAGGCTCCGGGCACGGTGGCCGGGGCTTGGGACGGGTCGGGTCCGAGCGGGACGAGGTGCAGAAGCCCAAAAATGCGGTTAAGTCCAACCCTGGGTGCTACCTGCTCCTGGGCGGAGCCCGGCCCGGGCGAGGACGTGAGGCTGTGCCGGCCGCGGAGCGCAGGCGTCGGGTGGGTGCTGCATCGCGAATCAGCAGAGCGACCCTCTGGGGTCCCCGCCGGCCAAGCTCGCGTCAGAACCCCGAAGGGAGCCGAGAGCCCCATCTCCATTCACTGCCGCTAGTCCCCCAGGGAAGCAGCTCCTGGGCGCCCGGCAGGACCCGCGCCATAGCCTCTTACCCCTGCTCCCTGGCAGTCTGAGCTGCCCTTCTCGGGGGAGAAGTTTCTTGCTGTGAGTAGAGGCCAAGTGGCCTGGGAAGTGGAAGGCCAGACTGAACCGTGATGACTGGGGCTCCTGAGCTCGGGCCTCGATTGCCTGCCGGAAACCCGCGCCAGAGTTCAACAGAAGGCGCTGGAGTGGGTGGGAGAGGACCTAGGGCAGAGGCGAGCCCGGGCACTGGGCACTGGGCACTAAAGCGTGGTAGCGCGGGTTGCTTCTGTGTTCTGCCCAGGACAGAGCAGTGGGGAAATCCAGGCTGGAGCCAAAAGTCCCAGTCCAGACTCCCCCCCCCCCCCAACACACACACCTGGGGTTGGGGGTGCTCTGTCTGTGTCTAGTGGATGCACATGGTGAATGAACACTTTCCATTTGAGGGCCTCTGGCAACCAGGAGTTTGGTCCTTGCCCTACTGGGACAGAGCACAGGATGCCTGCGATAAGATGGACAGAGGCAGTAGCCTTTGAGTGCACTCAGGAAGCAGGACAGGGTATGGGGAAGGAAGGGAACAGAAGTTAGAGCATGTGGCGGCCTTTAAAGACATAAGAGACAGGATTTCTGTTCTTAGAGAGCAAGGTTGCAGGGGCTCAATCAGGGAGTGGCTTGGTTTTGGGTTGTGTGGCAGCTGGAGGGCCAAGTGAGCCCTTGCAAGGGTGGAGTAAGTAGGTCAAGCCTGACAGCGTTAGACTGTGTGTGCACCAACTCCACTGTAGTTTGTGGTGGGCTTGCACAGAAGGGAAGGTGGGGTCTGTTCCTGGGCTGTGGACACCCTGGCTCACACTTGGAAGTTCGAGATCTCAGCCCAGTCATCCACCCGAGTGACCTCCCCCCATGTGTGTTAACCTTTCCTTATGGTGCTCAGCTGTGTCAAACCTGGCCCATCGGCTTCAAACGCAGCTGCAAGGCTCTGAATGTGTTATCCCTCTGAAGGGAAACTTGATATAGCCCAGTGGCTTTAGGGCCCTGCCTGGAGGACACAACTGGATGGGCCCTTGTTCCTCCTCTTCCTGCCACCAGAGAGCCTGGAGAAGTATCGTGGGGTTCCAGCAGGAGCCTGGGCTTTGAGGTCTTTATCTCTTGGGTTTTGGTTCCTCATCAGATGGGCTCACTTGCTTATGCTCAGGCTTTCTAGGCCTTTGAACAAGCTGGGACAGGATTCTTTTGGTCACTGTCATCAGCCACAGGCTCCTAGCTCACCTCAAATCTGGCCTGGAAGAGGTAGCTCACCCCTCTGTGGTCTTCCTTCTCTCCTCTTGCTACCCAGATCTGGACTCCAGCTCTAGCCCCAAGTCTGGCAGGACCCTTAACCTCTTTAACTTCAGTTTTCTCACCCTGAAGACAGAAGCTGAGTCCTCCATGCTAGAGATGTGAGGCATGCTGAGACGGTGCAGGCGACACACCTGGTTGGGACCTCTGTCCTGAGGGACCCTCTCAGTCTATGTCCCCTCTAGTTCCTTGATCTTGGCTGGCCCAGTTTTGGAGATCCACTGTCCTTGGGTGGTTGGTTGCTAGGGGCTTTGGATCTGCCTCACACTCTTAATCCCTGCTCAGGTGCAGCATTCAGATTTCGGCTCATTGTCCCCTCTGGATGACAAATAGCTCACCACCAGGCTGGTGGCAGATTTACTGTGGTGACATGCAGCAAGTGCTCAATATTTGCTAACTGAGTCCAAGCTCACTAAGCCTGCTCATCAGCTGTGCTTCCAGAATAATTTTGTTCGCTTGGCCCTAGGAAATTGTTTTAGTGAAGCTTTTTTTTTTTAAAAAAAAACTTCTTGTTTACTTAGTTCTATATGTAGTTTCACATTCTTTCATTTTATTTTTATGTTACCTATGAAGGTAGCCTCTTCCTCATTTCATACGCTGAGAAGCAGCGGATCCAGCTGCAGGCTGAGTGCTGACCAGGAATGGTGCTGGGGCTCCGAATTGCCTGGCTCTGGCCAAGTCTGAGCTGCTCTGTGCCTCACTTTCTGCACTGTAAAGGGCGTCCTGAGACCTTGGCTGGGTCCTTTAGAGATGAGGTGTGAGCGTGTGTGCTAGAGTTGAGTGCAGTGTCCAGCAGGTGGTCAGCAAATGGTAACTACAGTCCTTGAGCTGCCTCCTTGGTATCCAGGGGTCTCCTCCTCCCTTGGCTCCAATATCCAGATTCCCTTCCTCTGGGTGTGCCAGTTCCATCCATGGGTTCTCTGCACAGTCCACGCCCCTCTGGGAGACTTTACTGAGGTCTTGGGTTCCCACCACTTGGGAAGGAGAAGGCATAGCACCCAGGGTTGTGTCCTGGCCGGATGCCCTCAACTTCGACAGCAGAGGGAATGCAAGGATGCTCCCGAGCTCTCACAACCAAGTTCAACATATCTTTTTGGTCTGGAGCAAAGAGGGCAGTGTTAGGCCCATGGGAGACTTCACTGATAGCCAGTGCACTCTGCGGCTTTCGCAGCTCCAGGTCCTCCCTGGGTCTTGCTGCAAACACACAAGGAGAGCAAGGATCTTGCAATCTGAGAATGTGAATCCCCAAATCTCCTCCCTGTACCGTAGCTCCTGGGCAAACTCCTGACTTCTCTGAGCCTCAGTCTCCTTATTAGTAGAATGGGAATGTGGGTCCACCTTGTTGGTGAGAGCTGAGACAATGCCTAAGAAGCCCAGTCTATGATCATGCCTGCATGTAAACCCTGCACAGCTCTTAGAGGACAGATTCTTAGTGTTTATGGTAGTGAGGTGATTTTTATTGTGTAGTTTGATGCAGGAAAGTGGGACATCAGTTTGCAAATGGAAGGTAATCATTACTGTGCATTTGTACTCAAGCACTGTTTCCAAAATGATTTGGAGTCCCATAGAGCTCTACAATGGTAGATATGGAACACTGAGGGGATCCCTGGGAGCCTCAGTATCAAATTTAACAATTTTTTAAAATATACTTAAATGTGTGATTACAAAGCCAAAATTTTGCTAGTTCTGTGTAGATTTTTTTTCTTTTATTTTGGGTCTCGATATGCCATTCAGGCTGGCCCTGAGCTCACTTTGTAGCCCAGGCTGGTCTTGCAGGGATCTTCCTGTCTCAGCCTCCTGAGTGCTGAGATTACAGGCATGCACCGCATACTCGGCTCCCACACAACCTTATAGGTTACTTTAAAATAGTGCTTTATTATTGCCAGCTGTAGAGACCCACATTTTACATGAAAAGAAACACACATTTGCACCCTTTCTGCAGGCACCGAAATTAGGACCCTGAATCCTCATATCCAGTTCATCCACAGCAGGAAGTGTGGTCTGCTGGGAGAGAGGGGAGCCTAGTAAGCCAATAGGTGCCCAGCCCTCGGAGGGTGGGTGTGGGGAGAAGGGCAGGAAATTGGTGCAAATGTTCTAAAGGGCGATTGGCAACAGTGGATCAGAAACTCAAAAATATGTATGATCTGTGACTCAGCAGTTGAATTTTAGGACCAAATAAAGATGTGTGCAGAAGTGTTTGTTCAAGGATGTTTATCCCATCATTGTTTATGGGATAAACGACTTCCTAGAACAACTGCCTAGCAGAAGAATGAATTCATACCTGAGAACCCACAACTCAGAGATAGCTGTGAATTATGCTGCCAGGTTCACTAAGCTACCTGAACAGACATCCCTTAAATATGTGTGATAATAATGGTGATGACAGCTCACACATGGATGGCCTTTGCCATGTGCCAGGTGTGGTCCTAAGTGCCTTCTCTACATTAATTCATCACCATAGCAACATCAGGAGATATTTCCTCCTTTACAGATAAGGAAACTGAGGCACAGATCTGTTACATAATTTATCAAAGGTCGCGCACATGGTTGGTGGCTGGCTGGAATTTGAACCAGGATATCTGGCTACAGAGTCCAAGAGATTTTTCAAAGCAGTGTTTTTTGCTTTTAAAAATATCTTTTTCAGGGTACAGATGTGCACTGAAAAATGAATAAAAAGCAGAGCTGGCACCTCAACAGAGGAATGTAATTTTTTTTCGTTTTCTTTTGTCCTGTTTTCCTGGTTTTGTTCTGTTTCTAGTATTAGGGATTGAACCCAGAAGCATTGAGCTACATCCTGGGCCTTATTATTTTTGATACAGAGTCTTTATAAATTGTCCAGACTGACCTTGGACTTACAGTCCTTCTGCCTCAGCCTCCTGAGTAATTGTGATTATGGATGTGTCCTGCCACACCTGGTTTCAATTCTGGGTTTTTAAAAACTAAAAATCCATAGACCAGAGCACTGAGCCCCGTGGTTCTGATGAGAGCAGTCCTGTGGGAATTCTGCAGTGACAATGAAATCCTCTGTGCTCAGAGGAAGGCAGAGAGAGGAGGTTTGGGTAGATGCTGGGGTTGGTGTTTCTACGTCTTGGGGGAGGAAATCTCTGCACCTGAAACAGACAGCATAGCAAGGGTAGGGCTTTGGGGCTCAGGTCCTATTTCAGCCTCCTGTAGTAAAGCCATGCCTTAGTTTCTCCCTCTAGTGCTAAGGGTATGCTGGGTGAATCACGGCCCTCAAAGACACCGAGAGTCTAATCTCTAGAATCTTGAGCATTGCCTCCGATGGCAAAAGGAACTTTGCAGATGAGATTATATTTAAACTTCTGGATGGGGAAATTTCCCAGGATTGTCCTCGTGGGTCCTGAATGCACCCACATGCATCCTCGGGAGGAGGAAGAGGAAGATAGTCGACCACAGAAGGGTGATGTGCTGACCGTGGCAAGGTGTTCTGCTCAGGGAGAAGGAGCCACACACGGGAGGGCAAGGAGTGCAGTCTTGGATCTGGAAGAGGCTGGGGCTGGGGTTGCTTCTCTCCAGAGCCCCCAGATGGGACCGCCCTGCCCACACCTTAACTTGGGTGCATTGATGCTGGTGGGGGACTTTTACCCCAGAGCTGCAACATGATAATCATGTAATGCTTTAAGACACCAGGTTGGTGGCAATTTGTCAGAGCAGCCCCTGGAAACCATTCCCTGGGAAGTATACACATCAGACCCGTGGCACAGCCTCCATCATGAGAGTGGCCAGCCACTCGGGACTGGGCTCCACAAACCTGGTTCTGATCATCCCTGACTTGGGCTGAGCCTGGCCACTGCGTGCTTGTGCCTTTCACCTGAGGGACAGGTGCTGATGCTCACTGATGCACTCTGTCCTAGGCCGCGTGGGGAATCCTCTTTGGAGGGAATATTTCTGGGATGCCTTCCCCTCAGAGTGTGTGTGTGGAGGGCTCGTAGCCAAGTCCAAGGTTCACACCCCACCCCCATCCAGTCTGCACCCCATAGTACTCTGACAGATCTAATGACCAGACTTAAGGGTGCCAGAAATGACTTTTAGCCATGGTGTCACCTTGGAGTTCAGCAGCAGATATGTGTGTCAGGGCTGGGTCTTGGGGTGGGGACAGGGAAGG